CGCCTGAACTGCAGCTGCATCGGGGGAGGAAAGAGAGGGAGGGGGGAAATCTGTACTGTATGGGTGGTTGTGCTGGAAGTAGGGGGGCATAATGAACATCTGATCTAGGAGGAGGTCTGACAGAGGGTGTTGGTGGGGAAGGATGAATTAGGGCTCTGGGGAGATATCTGTACTGGATGGGGGTTGGGCCTGTTCAGGGTCTTTACTGTGGGGAATATGGGCTTGGGTGGATTATTACTAGCAGGAGAGGGTAATGTTTTTTGTATTCTGACAGTATGCTGGAGACCCAGACCACTACGCTCTGTGTAAGACCAGCAGTATGGATCTCAGAGGTCTGACACAACATTGCTAATGGTGAGTATGGAGCACTGTAACTAAAAAAGAAACTATTTTTATGCAGCTTCACTTCATAGAATGTAAAACTATAATTGGACAAAAAAAACGGTCATAACAGATACTGTGTATGGAGGCTGCCATTGCTAAAGTAGTACTAAAGGATATTTGTTTTTTAACTTAATGCATTCTCTGCATTAAGGTAAAATAACACCCCACTTCTTTTCTACGCCCCCTACACTTCATGTTCACAGCTCCCAAAGGATTTGCGGTGTCCTGAAGTTTAGGGGTGAGGGGGGATCCCAAGGCCACAGAGAGAAGGGCAGCAATAGGCTGCTGTACCTGCCTGTCAAGATACTGTGAGGAGGTGAAAACAGCGGCATGGCTTGTCGAGTACTATGTGTGTCGATGGACATACACAACACAAATCACTTCCTGGCCGGGAGCTCTTTGTAACCTGCTAGGCAAAGGAGACACCTGTAAACAGGAGGGGGCGTGGTGTATCAAATTAAAAACATTAATGAAAAGGGAAGAAAAAAAAGCTACACAAGTACAAGTGGATCTCCTCTCATTTAGAAAATGAGAGTCCTTTGGCTCTCTTTTTGACCCTCTTTCTTCAAAATGCTGAATCACTAATCCAAAACTAATATGTGATAAGGTCTTCTGTCCTTACTCAGGCTTTCTTGATCTGCACATTTGTTCTCAGAAAGTATTAAAGCTAGTGGGTCAGGACAACAGCAATATAAATAGCATTTCCACCTATATGGAATTTATTACATGCCAAAAGCATAAAGATAATGACTGAATTCTCCATGTCATCCTTGCCTCTCTTTGTTATAACAATCCATCTCTACAATCCAGCTATTTAACTAAGTTTCCTTACAGCTGTATCTCATAATGTTTCTTTGAATTTGCTAAGTTATTAACCTTGTGAACCAAGAATAGATATAACGAACAAAATGTCAATTTGACAGTACATAAAAGGGAACAATAAACAATGTCTTTGTATGAATACATGCCTGTCCTTTGCCACAAGGTTTACTATATACAGTATTTCTATTCAAAAAAATTGTACTATTGTATTTAATATTAAGAATCACTTATTTCCTTTAAGACATTTACCTTAGTAAATGAATCTCAAAGGTATGTCTTAGTTGCATATGGAAAATAGTGTTTGTCACATATGTATGATTCTAAAACCATAAAAAGAACTTTGTTTTTGGAGTATTATAGAGGGTTCAACCCCCAGAGATGACAACAGCCCAGTCATTGAATGTGTGCAAAATTATTCACTTTAAGGCCACTGCAAAGGACAAGGGAGCACTCTGCGGCTGGAGGTAAAGATGTTTAAGCTCTGCATACGAAAAGGCTTTTTCATAGTGTGGCAGCAGTCAGAGGAAGTTCTTGAGAGGGTGCTGAGAGGGCTGGAGGCTTGGAGGTAACAAGCCCAGCTGAAACTACCTGGCTTGTTAGGGCCTCTACAAGAACACTCAGCCTCCTAAGGCTGGGCACACACCTTACAACCATCGCATGACTTTTGTCTTGCGATGGTTGTAAGGTACTTAAAAAAAACATACGATCTGCCTATCTTGCATAGGCAGATCTTACTTGCGATGATCGCAAGCCATGCCCCCTGAGGGGCGGGCTTCCGATGGCCGCAATGCCGAACGGGCAGTGTGCGCTTGTGCACACTGGCCCGTCCGGCTTTTATCTTACGAACATGCTACACACCCGCCGAACATCGTACAATGCTCGGTGGGTTTTCAAACATGTTCGTAAGTTTAAAGTCGTGCGACCTTACAGTAGTAGAGGTCGCACTGCTTCCACACACCTTACGATAATCGTACGATCGCGGGATTTCCCGCGATTATCGGAAGGTGTGGGGACCTTAAGAAAGGGACCCCACCCTAGAGCCAGACTGTGTGTCTGGTGGACTGGGGAGCAGACCGCCTGTGTGGCAATTTGCATGTGGGGCAAAACAGCAGCCTGTGTGGCAATCTACCTGTGTGGTGAGCAGCCTGTGTGGGAAAGGTTTTGTTAAAAACACAACCTGAAGTCGGAGAGACATTGGAAATGTTATTTTGCCGTTAGCAAGAGAATTATACTTTGTGTTGGGGAAACCACTGCAAGGGAAAAATGTATGTGGATGTTTAAATAAAAGTGGGCAGTAAGCCCTAAAAACAAATTGTTTAAGAGTGGAAGCGTCCCGAATGCACTACCATTTGAAGCGAATCCTCACAATAGTAAGAGCTGTGAAAATGTGGAAAAGACTTCCTTTGGAACTAAGTCTAGCTAGCTCAGTTAACTGTTTTAAAAAAAATCTAAATGCACAGAATAGAACTCGATATTAACATTTTAAAAGAAAAAAACAAAACACCAGTGATTGTCAACCCAGAGAATATCCGATTGCCTTATGGGACCAGGAAGGAATTTTTTTCTCCCTGATGGAAGGAACTGAACCATGCTTTATATGGTTTGTTGGCTTCATCTGGATCAACTGTGGGTAAGTGTGGGCATAGGGTTCTGCTTATGCATATTTTTCTATTTATTTTTTTTTATATTGACTGACAGTGAGAAATCTATTACAAGGGATGCATGATGTAGATATTGCTCTAGATCTGAAAACATTTTTACTTGGACTGCCAAACCATCTTACTGGAATAGTCCTACAAAACAAAACAAAAATAAATGGACCATAAATATCCTGCATTCACAAAATGGTATCCCTTAATTCATAAGTTGATTATATAACCACATAATTTCAACAGGTGCTATTATTGTGCCATGTAGAACTAAAACATTAAAAAAAAATCAAGACCATATTTTAAAGCTTGATAAGGTTGCGTTGTAGGAAAGCAGAGCAAAGATTAACAGGCATTATTTAGCTTTTACATTGATATAAGTAGATCTAAAAGCTTGCAATATTACTCAAGCAATGGATGTTCTCATTTAACAGGGAAGTATTATCTGCCTATGGTATTTATCATATTATCTAAGTCAATCATTAAGCATTTTTATGTATCTGTATATAATGTACAGCGCAGAGCACATATACAAATGAAGGGCATGAAGTATATAATATACAGCATACTGCATGCCGACAAGCAATGCAAATTACTTTATGTACCATACAGTTTATGCAGTGAAGCAGCATAGAAAAACAGTGCATTGAGATCGTAATATCAGAAAAGGCATATTTAATATATAGTGAATGTAAAGTGTTTTTAAATATTTTATCCAGACAAAAAGTAATTTTTACATGCAAGGACAACGTTCAGCATCTCCACTACCATGGGTTTGAGGCAAATTCTGGGGATCTGAGATCTACATTCCTGGTGAATTTATTTGGAGATTTACCCAGCAGATTTTGTAAAAACCATAATGCACTTTTTTTTTTTTGTCTGGGTTGTTCAATGCAGAGCATTCATTAGTTACTGACCATCTAATCTTGAAGCATGCCACTGCATCGTTTGAAAAAAAAAAAGTGCCAGAACTGTGTGCACCCATGCAATCTTTACATTATATCACTCACATTCACCACATCCTCAGATAAAATAAAAGTTAGGCATATACCAGCTAGGCCTACTATCCCTAACTAAAACTGCCCTGCTGTTGCCCAGTTTTCCACTGCTGTATCCCCTGCAGTATTGTATCTTCCAGTAAAGCCCTATCCTGTGTTCTTTGTCTCTAGTAAATGTGCACCCTGCCTTGCTTTTTAAATTATACTACTGCTGGCCAATTTAACACTGCTGTATCATCTGTGGTCTCTTAATTCTTAATGACAACTTAATATATAATATTACGACCCCAATTCCAAAGAAGTTGGGATGCTGTGTAAAATCTACATTAAAAACAGATCATAATGATTTCCAAATAGTTTAAACCCATATTTTATTCATAAAA